CCTCTGCCTCCCAGATTCAAGCGATTCTCCTGCCTCAGCCTCCCAAGTAGCTGGGATTACAGGCTCCCGCCACCACGCCCGGCTAAATTTCGTATTTTTAGTAGAGACGGGGCTTCACCATGTTGGCCAGGCTGGTCTCGAACTCCTGACCTCAGGTGATCCGCCCGCCTCAGTGCTGGGATTACAGGTGTGAGTCGCTGTGCCTGGCCTCATTTTTTCATTTATTCAATTTACATTTACTGAGCATCTCCTCTGTGCCAGTATAATTCAGGAACATAGAAGTGAACAATTCGAACATAGGTTTCTGCTCATATGGACCTTACAATCTTGTAAGCCAATTAGAGCCTTCCCTTCCTGCCTGGGAAACACCTCTGCCCACAGTCTGTCCAGTCCTGAGTTTCCCATTGTTACGGGTTTAACTGTGTTCCCTCCAGATTCCTGTGTTGAAGTCCTAATGTCCAGGACTTCAAAATATAACTATACTTGGAGAAAGGGTGTTTAGAGAGGCAATTAAGTTAAAATGAGGTCTTTAGAGTGGGCACCAACCCAACATGGCAGATGTCCTTATAAGAAGAGGAAATTTAGGCCAGGCGCAGTGGCTCACGCCTGTAATCCCAGCACTTTGGGAGGCCGAGGTGGCTGGATCACCTGAGCTCAGGAGTTCGAGACCAGCCTGGTCACGACGGCAAAACCCCGTCTCTACTAAAAATACAAAACTTAGCCAGCATGGTGGTGGGTGCCTGTAGTCCCAGCTACTTGGGAGGATGAGGCAGGAGAATCGCTTGAACCTGGGAGGTGGAGGCTGCAGTGAGCCGAGATTGCACCACCACACTCCAGCCTGGGTGACAGAGTGAGACTCTGTCTCAAAAAAAAAAAAAAAAAAAAAAAAGAGAGAAGAGGAAATTTAGAGACAGATGGTACAGAGGGAAGACCACGTGAAGACACAGGAAGAAGGCAGCCATCTGCAAGCCAACGAGAGAGGCTGCAGAAGAAACTCATCCTGCCAACACCGTGATCTCAGATTTCTAGCTTCCAGAATTGTGAGTAAATAGATTTCTGTTGTTTAAGCCACCCAGTATATGTGCCCTAGCAAACTAATACACCCACCAATATCTTTGGAACTTGCAGCCAACAGCTTCAACTATAGTTTTTATTTCATTTTGTTTTGCTTTGTTTTGTTTTCTGAGACAGGGTCTTACTTTGTTGCCCAGGCTGGAGTGCAGTGGTGTGATCATGGCTCACTGCAGCCTCAACCTCCTGGGCTCAGGTGATCCTCCCACCTCAGCCTCTCAAGTAGCTAAGACTGCACGTGTGCTAATTTTTTTTTTTTTTTTTTTTTGTAGAGATGGGGTTTCACCATGCTTCCCAGGCTGTTCTTAAACTCCTGGCCTCAAGTGATCCACCCGCCTCGGCCACCCAAAGTAGTGCTGGGATTATAGATGTGACTCACTGTGCCCAGCCTTAAACCATAGTTTTAACCAAGCCAGAATCTAAGTATCTGAAACTGTTTTAAAAAAATTTCTGCCCAGATGCGGTGGATCATGCCTGTAATCCTAGCACTTTGGGAGGCCAAGGCAGGCAGATCACCTGAGGTCAGGAGTTCAAGACCAGCGTGGCCAACATGACGAAACCCCATCTCTATTAAAAAATACAAAACTTAGGCCGGGCGCGGTGGCTCAAGCCTGTAATCCCAGCACTTTGGGAGGCCGAGATGGGCGGATCACGAGGTCAGGAGATCGAGACCATCCTGGCTAACACGGTGAAACCCCGTCTCTATTAAGAAATACAAAAAACTAGCCGGGCGAGGTGGCGGGTGCCTGTAGTTCCAGCTACTCGGGAGGCTGAGGCCGGAGAATGGCGTGAACCCGGGAGGCAGAGCTTGCAGTGAGCTGAGATCCGGCCACTGCACTCCAGCTGGGGCGACAGAGCGAGACTCCGTCTAAAAAAAAAAAAAAAAAAAAAAAAAAAAAAAATTAACTGGGCGTGGTGGCGTGTACCTGTAATCCCAGCTACTCGTAAGGCTGAGACAGGAGAATTGCTTGAATCTGCGAGGCGGAGGTTGCAGTGAGCCGAGATCTTACCACTGCACTCCAGCTTTCTCAAAAAATAATAAGTAAATAAAATAATAAATAAAGAAAATTCCCACTAGTAGATGAGTAACTTGTCCCCGTGCATACACACAGTTTTCTGTTAACTTTTCCACAGATGGGAAGTGCATGTATCTTATACTCTTGGGAGGTGCTTCCCCAAAGGCTTCTGGGTTTGCTGTTTCCCGCCCAATCACAGATCTGTGTTTGATTCCCTCAGCTAAATCTTCTGACACAAGAAATCCATTTTAGGTCCTTCAACTTCCATCAAATGCTACAGTGTGGTTAAGGGTGCGGTCTTAGTTTCTACACCTACAGAACTGGGTACTGATATGCTGTGGCTGTGTCCCCACCCAAATCTCAGCTCAAATTGTAGCTCCCATAATTCCCTCGTGTTGTGGGAGGGACCCAGTGGGAGACAGTTGAATCATGGGGGCAGTTTCCCCCATGCTGTTCTCGTGGTAGTGAATAAGTCTCACGAGATCTAATGGTTTTATAAGGGAAAACCCCTTTTCCCTGGCTCTCACTCTCTCGTCTGCCATCATGTGAGACATGACTTTTACCTTCCGCCATCATTGTGAGGTCTCCCCAGCCACGTGGAACTGTAAGTCCATTAAAACTCTTTCTTTTGTTAATTGCCCAGTCTTGGGTATATCTTTATCAGCAGTGTGAAAACGGACTAATACAGATACTATTGATGTCAGCCTTACAGAGTTGTGAAGATTAAATGACATAATAATAGCAGCTTATGGTTACTATGTTCTAAATACTATTTGTTTCAACACTTTATTGCTGCATAACAAACTACCCCAGAATGTTGTGGTTTAAACAGTAATTATTGGCCAGGTGCAGTGGCTTACGCCTGTAATCTTAGTACTAAGGGAGGCTGAAGCAGGTGGATTGCTTGAGCCCAGGAATTCAAGACCAGCTTGGGCAACATGGTGAAACTCCGTCTCTCCAAAGAAGTACGGAAAAATTAGGCAGGTTTGGTGGTGCACACCTGTAGTCCTAGCTACCTGGGAGATTGATGTGGGGGAGGATTGCTTGAGTCCAGGCGGTCGAGGCTGCAGTAAGCATGATCACACCACTGCACTCCAGCCTTGGTGACAGAGTGAGACCTTGTCTAAATAAAATAATAATAATAATTATTATTAATATATTAATATATAAAACAATAATATATAATTATAATAATTATTATTTTATTGTCTCTTACGATTTCGTGGGTTAACAGGGCTCAACAGGACGGTTTTCAGCTTCCTGCAATGTTGGTTGGGCTGCAGTCACATGGGGGCTTGAATGAGCTGGAACACCCAAGATGGTGCACTCATATGCCTACCAGTTGATATTGACTGTTGGCTGGGGTTTCAACTGGTGCTGTCAACTGTCGCAACTACCCATAGCCTCTCTATGTGTCTTGGGCTTCCGCAGCATGGTGGCTGGGTTCTCAGGGACAGTGTCCCAAGAACAAGTGTTCTAAGAGTCAGTAAGCAGAAGCCGCCAGTCTTCTTGAAGTCTACATCCCACATCAGTAACAGTGTTCCTTCCGTCTCATTCTATAAACTCCACCTCTGGATGGGGAGAAGGATAAGGAATGTGTACTCATCTTTAACCCATCATGCTACTCGAGAAACTTTACACGTATTAACTCAACGAATCCTCAATCTCATATAGGCATTACTGTTACCATAATTTTACAGTCGAGGATGCTGAGATAGAGGTCTCCCGTCAGGGCAGTTCTGCTGTTCTGTGATTGTCCAGCAGGGGCGCTCCTCACGCAGTCATCATCACAGGCGGGATTCCCACCGTGTTCCTACATCCTCATAGCTATGGCTTGTGTTTACATAGCACCAGGAGCGGTGCTAAATGCTTTGCGTAAGGAATCACGACTGAACTTAGCAAGAGTGTCCTGAGGTTGAGTTTTACAGGTGAGGACGTTAAGGCTCAGGGAGTTGAGGCCAAACATGTGGCAGACTGAGACTCAGACCAGGACCGTCTGGCTCCAAACCCGTGCCCTTGGCCACTTCCCCACAGTGACAACAGCAGCAATAACTGCGTGGCTCATGCCTGTAATCCAGCACTTTGGGAGGCTGAGGCAGGAAGATTGCTTGAGTCCGGGAGTTTGGGACTAGCCTGGGTAACATAGTGAGACCCATTTCTATACAAAAAATTAGCAGGCGTGGTGGCATGAGCCTGTGGTCTCAGCTGCTTGGGAGGCTGAGGTGGGAGGATCGCTTTAGCCTGGGAGGCAGAGGTTTCAGTGAGCTGAGATTGCACTATCATACTCCAGCCCGAGTGACGGAGTGATACCCCCCTCTGCAAAACACAACCCAACACAACAAAACAAAACAAGCAAACAACAACAGCTAATTGGTATAGAAGACTCTCTGCATACCAGGCACAGGGTGTGTGTGTGTGTGTGTGTGTGTGTGATAAGTTACAATAACAACCCTATAAAGCACAAAATAGTATCCTTCCCACTTTGCAAATAAACAAATCGAGACCCAGAGAAGTTAAATATCTATGCAAGGTCACACAGATGGTAAGCGGTGGATTCAGGATTTGAGTCTAGGAAGCCTGAGTTGGGGAGAGGAGCTTCCTTCCTTCCTTTCCTTCCTTCCTTCCTTCTTTCCTTCTTTCTTTCTTTGATGGAGTCTTGCTCTGTCACCCAAGCTGGAGTACAGTGGCGCGATCTCAGCTCACTGCAAACTCTGCCACCCAGGCTCCAGCGATTCTCCTGCCTCAGCCTCCCGAGTAGCTGTGATTACAGCTACGCACCACCACACCCAGCTAATTTTTGTATTTTTTAGTAGAAACGGGGTTTCACCATGTTGGCCAGGCTGGTCTTGAACTTCTGACCTCAGGTGATCTGCCCACCTTGGCTTCCCAAAGTGTTGGGATTACAGGCATGAGCCCCCGTGCCCCGCCTCAGAAGCGATTTTCAACACCTCCTGGGTGCTTTTGGTGTCTGAAGGGCTGGTACAGGCCACAGTGGTCAGGAACTCAGGGTCCTCCAGCCCCGCTCTGTGACCTGGTGGTTGCACCCGCCCACTTTCTGAAGCCTTACAGTCCTTCGGCATCTCATTCAGGTCTGTCTCTGCTGGTCAGAAGAGCCATCATGTGAGAGTCACTGCTCCTGCCTTCTTTGACGGTCAAGTGCATCAAATCAGAGGACCTTCTTCCGTCATCTCCTGTTTGGCTTTGTCTGTCCTGGTCTGGTCACCAGGGGCAAGAACTCCATGGGACCACCTGCCTCTTCTTTGTGGCTTCAGACGGTCCACTTCTTGTGAACTTGCTCCCTGGCTGCTGCCTGGAGCGCTGTGTATAGCCCGCTGTCATTGTCATCTCTGCTCAATGCCGCATCTGCCTCCTTGATCTTGATGTCCAAGCTCTCCTGGGGAACTTCCTTGGATTCCTTCTTTGCCAAGGGAGATGGACACATCCCTCGGACCCTTTTTTAGCTTCTGGCTTGATTTCTGTGACCCCCTACTCTTCTTGCTACTATTGCTTGTAGCCCCAGGAGGGGGACTGGCCTTCCCGATGACTGTCCCAACGGCTGGGCCTGGGCCTCCGAAGTGGGAGGGGTGGGCGCCTCCCCAAGGGTCCCAGCAACCGCAGCCTGCGTGGGCCCGTCATCCAGCATCAGGCATCTCATCTGCCTCAGGACCGTCATATCCTGCGCACGGTCCTTCCACAGAACCCTCCAGATCCCATCCTTGGCCAGGATCTCTGTGGGAATGGCAGCGTGATTGACGTCCTCCACAAACTCCACCAGGGCGGCCTGGGCCTTCTCGTTCATCAGGGCCTTCATGTGTCGCAACCTGAACGTGCCCAGGGGCAGGAGGGTCAGCTGCAGGACGGCTTCAACGTCCGCCTGCTCCAGGCCCTCCTGGATGCCAGTGACCAGCAGGGCCCTGTGCGCGTCCACGTCCAGGCTCCGGCACCAGTCCTGCAAAAGGCTCATGGCCATGGTGTCGCCCCCTCCCTGATCTTGGAGCAGCAGGGAGCCCGAGATAGGGGTGGGCTGCAGCGCACGGTGTCAATGCAACCCTGGCAAGCCACCCGCACGGCTTAGAGTCCCAGTTCTGGTGAATGTGGCAAGGCTGGAGTGGGGATGAGGGCTCGGGTGTCCTGGCTGCCTGCTGGCTGGCTAGACACAGTGATTTTTCCCCAGGACCCCTCCCCAGAGCTGTGTGAGGATCCGCAGGAGACTACGGATCTGTTCTCCAGGGATGCACATGGGTTCCTTTGAGGGCAGCAGCTCCCTCTCAGAGCCAGCAGAGGAGGAAACTCCTCCTGCTCCAGCCACATGGGGACACCCCCTCCCTGTTGCCCCTTAATCCTGATGGTTCCTCTGTGCCTCATCAGCCACCGCAGCAGGCCTGGGTTCCAGGATAGGCCTGTCTCTCCCTCCTCCATTGGCTACCGCTGTTTCCATGACAACCATTTTCAGGCTGTTGCAGGAACTGAGCATTTTTTGTTTTAAGAAGCCCACTGAAAACGAGACTATGCATCTTGTTTGTTTACTGGCGTCTTTCATGACTCCGGGAGACAGGCCTCACACAGAGAGCTAGGCTTAGTCAGTAGGACTGGGCCTTCCTCTGGGGCACCAGGCTCCAGATCTAGGGTGAGTTTGATGTTTAGGACCCAGTGTGGGCCAGGTGAAATAGAGACTGAGTGAAGGCTGTGCGGTGTGCTGCCTGATGCAGGGGCACAGAGTCTATCAAGGTAAAACAAACAAACAAACAAAAAAAAACCACCACCAGCTGGGCACAGTGGCTCACACGCCTGTAATCCCAGCACGTTGGGAGGCCGAGGCAGGCAGATCACTTGAGGTCAGGAGTTTGAGACCAGCCTGGCCAACATGATGAAACCCTGTCTCTACTGAAAAATCCAAAAATTAGCCAGACATGGTGGTGTGCACCTGCAATCCTAGCTACTCAGGAGGCTGAGACAGGAGAATTGCTTGAACCTGGGAGGTGGAGGTTGCAGTGAGCAGAGATCGCACCACTGCACTCCAGCCTGGGAGACAGGGTGAGAGTCTGTCTCAAAAAAAAAAAAAAAAGAAAGAAAACAAAACAAAAGATAAGACAAGACCACGACCTCTGGGCAGCCACTGCTACCATGACTGTGCTGGGCCCTGCTGTGCGGTGGGAAGTAGGCGGGGTGCTCAGGTGAGGACTTGCTGGTGGAGGGGGGAATCTTTGGGCTTCAGGAAGAACCCCTGGGATACCTGTAAATTATCACGTGGTCTCACCCAGGAGGTCCCGTTCATGTCTTGCTAACTGTCCCACCAGCACCCCAAGTGTGGCCCCAGTACTTTCCTGGGCTGCACCCTGTGTCTGGGAACACTGTCATGGTGAGCCAAGCCCCAGGCCCTAGGATGAGCCCCAGGGTTCATTCATTCATTCATCCCTTCTTCCACCTGGGCAACATAATGGAGAGAAAAATCAGCTGTTTCTTATTCTCAGCCCACCCCATGACTGGTCACAGCTGCTGGTCTGCCCTCTGTGCAAGCTTGGGTCTGCCCTGCAAATGCAGGGATTGAGAATACGCCTGCCACACAGGTCTGCTCCAGGTGGATACCGTCTCTATCAGGCAGCTGTCATCTTGTTCCCTGTTAACAAGAGCTCCAGAGCCCCAGGAACAAGGTGAAAAGACTCAGGAATACGGCAAATGATGGTGCCAGGTCTTAAAAACTCCAGAAAACCCTTTCCCTGTCCCCCTAACTCCTGGTCCAGCATTTGGAGCCAGATGTACTGTCTGGCAGGGCACTGAGAAGACCCCCCCCCACCCTCCTTCCCTTGGAGGCTCAGAGAATGCTTAGAGGAGTGGGATACACAGGATTGTTTAGGTCCCAAATACAGAAATCCAAGTTAGCCTTGGATAAGCAGGTTAGTGAAAAAGGAATTCATTGGCTCATATTACTATGAATACAGGGCTGATTCTGGCTTCAGGCATGGCTGGTTCTAGGGCCCTTCATTCATTAATTTAGCCCAGGACCCAGGGCTGACTCCTATTGGAGGAATTGGATCATGTGCTTGCCCCTGCCCCAATCACAGTGACCAGGGAGGGAAGGAGTGCGCTGATTGGCCAGACTTGGGTGGGCCGGGGATTGGGTGAGCCCTGTAGGACTCACCTGGAGGGAGAGTAGGGCGAGGGGGGCGGTTCCCTGGAGAGAAATGAAGGTGAATCACTCAGGAGAGGTAAGTGGACTCTGGGCTGGAAAGCAGGAGACTGCCCTAAAGGTATGATGGCATTAGTGAGACTCACTGTACCTGGATTGGGGAGGGACTGAAGGGAGTATGGGACCCTCTCCAGGAGCCCTAGGGCCTTGGCTTCCAACAGACTCCTGGCAGCATCCCCCGACAGCCTCAGCAGGATGAATTTTGGGGGTCCTGGGAGCCTGAAGCATGTACTCTTGGCTAGCAGGTCCGGGATCTCCTCTTCTTGGCTGTGGGTATTTGTTGGAGAATGTCTCAGCTTCTGGTTGGGAGAGAGGGAGAGGATGTCACTCATTGAGTGCTCATTGGTTTAACCCCGTAGACTTCATTCATTCATTCATTCAGTCTTTCTGTAGTGCCTGTGCAGGGCTCTGAGGACGCGATGATGACTGAAGCCCTGCCTCCTGCAGTGCAGGGAAAGCCTGGATTCTTAGGGGAGGTGGGTAGGAGGAGCTGGAGCTAACCCTGGATCAGGACAGGCTTACTCAGAGGAGGTGACATTGAGCTGAAGGGAGGAGGTGACCATTTGTGGGAGGTGGGGGTAGGGAAAGGGAAGAAGTGCTTTTGAGGCAGCCAATGGGCTAAGATCCCAGTGACTAAATGGAGAACAGGATGTCTAAGGAGCTGGGGGTGGAAGGGTGTGGCTGAGCAGCGGGATGGGGGTTGGGGAGGAGGTGGCAGGGCCAGGTACAGAGGGCCTTGTGGGTTGGTCACGTAAGGGTATGACCAAGGAATGGAAGGCTGGGGGGTCACCAAGGCCAGAACTGGAAGCTTCTCTGCAGCTTATGTGCTGTGTGACACTGGGAAAGTTAAATGACCTCTCTGAGCCTCACTTTCCTCATTTATAAGATATTCTCAGAGTTGCTGTGTTGTTAGGCACGTGGAAGATTTAGCACAGGTACTGGCCACAGTAGGGTTTTAAGTATCGATTATTGGTGTCAATCCTTATTTTCATAATTCCCTTTTGTGTGAAGAACAGGCTGTTGCTGTATGAGGAATTTGCTGGGTCAGAGCGCCCTCTGGTGGGCATGGGGAGCCAGTTAGGGAAGAAAGATGAAACCAGAGGTTTTGATTTTAAAGGGCACCACCCTCTGTCCCCCTCTTATTCTCTCCCTTCCTCCCTTTCTTTTCCTTTCTTCCCTCCACATGCATTCACCAGGGTTGATCCTGCCTAGATGGGGACTGAAACAGCCCAGGCCCTACCTTCCCGGGCGTTTACAGCCCAGCCACAACAAACTTTTAAATATTTATTCATTGGATCTGATTTTGTTTTGGACATTGGCATGCATAGGGGAGGGAGATGGCCATACGACTGTTGTCAATGTTCAAATTCAAAACATGGTTTATATGAGAAAGGTAAGAGAAAGGAGAGAAAACTTCATTCTGAAGGCTGGGTGCAGTGGCTCACACCTGTAATCCCTGCTCCTTGGCAGACTAACAGGGGAGGATCACTTGAGGCCGGGAGGACAAGGCTGTTACAGTGAGCCATAATCACGCCATTGCACTCCAGTCTGGGTAACAGAGCAAGACTCTGTCTCAAAAAGAAAAGAAAAATACAGCCGGGCGTGGTGGCTCACTCCTGTAATCCCAGCACTTTGGGAGGCCGAGGTGGGTGGATCACGAGGTCAGGAGATCAAGACCATCCTGGCTAACACGGTGAAACCCTATCTCTGCTAAAAATACAAAAAATTAGCCGGTCGTGGTGGCGGGCACCTGTAGGCCCAGCTACTCAGGAGGCTGAGGCAGGAGAATGGCGTGAACCTGGGAAGTGGAGCTTGCAGTGAGCCGAGATTGCACTACTGCACTCCAGCCTGGGCGACAGAGCAAGACTCTGTGTTAAAAAAAAAAAAAAAAATACAACTTTTGACTGAAAACAATGAGTTGTGTTTTCACATTTTAGGGGGCAAATTGATTAAATTGATTATCCAGAAACTAGAAAAGGGAAGGATGGCTGGGAGCGTGAAAGAAAGGTTTTTTTGTTTGTTTGTTTTTGTTTGTTTGTTTGTTTCTTTTAGAGAGACAGGGTGTTGCTATGTTGCCCAGGCTGGTCTTGAACTCCTGGCCTCAAGCAGTCTTCCTGTCTTGGCCTCCCAAGGTGTTGGCGTTACAGGCATTAGCCACTGTGCCCAACCAAGAAAGCACTTTCTGATATTTGGGATTTTCCAGAAGACCTGAAGAGCTTAGCTGTGGAGCGTTTGTAGGAGGCTGTCTGTGACATCTGCTGTGACCTCCTGTTGGCAATGGTCCACAGTTAGTCCAGGTGACCCCATTCCTTTCTCACAGTTTCCTCAAGGTCTGGTTTTTTGTTTGTTTGTTTGTTTTTTGAGATGGAGTCTTGCTGTGTCACCCAGGCTGGCGTGTAGTGGTGTGATCTTGGCTCACTGCAACCTCCGTCTCCTGGGTTCAAGCGAGTCTCCTGCCTTAGCCTCCTAAGTAGCTGAGACTACAGGCGTGCGCCACCACACCTGGCTAATTTTTGTATTTTTAGTAGATATGGGGTTTTACCATGTTGGCCAGGCTGGTCTTGAACTCCTGACTTCAGGTGATCCGCCTGCTTCAGCCTCCCAAAGTGCTGGGATTATAGGCGTGAGCCACTTTGCCTGGCCACTCAAGGTCTGTTTTATCTCCTTCTATGTCTATATCCACAGTAATATCTATGTCTACATTGATGTTTATGTCTATATCCATGTCTACACCCACAGCTCTGTCCTAATCCATACCTACACCATATGGACAGCTATATCCTTATTGGTAACTTATCCTCTATCTGCAACTATATCCACATCGCCATCTACATTCAGATCAGTCTCCCTCTCTCTGTCCATGTCTGTGTTCATTTTCTAGAGCTGCTGTCATAAATTCTCACAAACTTAGTGGCTAAAAATAACAGACGCTTATTTTCTCACAGTTCCGGAGGCCAGATGTTCAAAACAAAGATGCCAGCAGGGCCATGTTGGCTCTGAAGGTTCTAGGGGAGAATCGTTTCTTGGCCTCCTCCAGCTTCTGCTGGTTCTTGATGTCTCTTGGCTCCAGTCTCTGGCCTTCTCCTCTTCTCTGTGTCTTTTCTTTTGCTATGTCTTTTTTTGGAGGGGACGGGACAGGGACAGAGTCTCGCTCCATCGTCCAGGCTGGAGCGCAGTGGTGTGATCTCTGCTCACTGCAACCTCTGCCTCCCGATTCTCTTGCCTCAGCCTCCTGAGTAGCTAGGATTACAGGCGTGAGCCACCATGGCTGGCGCGAAGACCCTTTTTGTAAATAAGGTCACACTCAGGTTCCATAGATTAGGACATAGAACATATTTTTGAGGAGTGGTGCCATTCAACTCACTATAACATATATGTCTATTACCGTCTACATTTACATCCTTGACTATATGCAGATACACATCTATGTCTCCATTTATGTCTATGTCCTTATGTACATTGGTATTTATATTCCCAGTTATATCTGTATTCTATCAACATCTATATCCATATCTGTATCCTTATCCACATCTGAATCTGTGTCTATGTAACAGAAGGTTATT